ATGAAACCAGCCATACAATGTATAAATAGAAACAGGTCATTATGAACTAGAAACCCTTTTGTTTGAAATGGTGGCTATCAGCAGCATTCTTAGGTGGCTGGGAGCATGTCACTGTTGCTAAGCATCTGTCAACACCTTGCAAATAATATAGAGCTCCACTACTAATTCTGACAAATCTTACAGTAACATTTAAATAGCCAATTTAACTTGCTGTATTACTTCTTTTCTGAAAGTCTCCTAGCACTTATGGTAAACATGCCATTGGTTTTCAAAACACAATTTTAATGGGCAAGTGATGACAGCACAGAGAACCATTGGTTAGATGTCACCTTTAGCTAGACTGAAATAGATGCTTATTGACCAGAACACTTAAGACAGACACTGTTTTCACATGACAACTCACATTACAGACTTTGCATCAAGCCTGTTCTAATTTCCCACAGGCAATACTAGACTTACCAAAAAAGGAGAAGCTTGTGATTACAAAGCTTTAGCAAAGAATCCACAGCAAGTGGCATAGCTGGTGCAGGGAAGTTCACGTTGTACCTCCAGATTTACTTCAAGGTGTTTCCACTCCATCCCCCTGCCCACTAGGGTTGCTCCCTGGGAGATGTTAGTTTTAAGTTCTGCTGGGAGCTTCCAGGAATACCCTCACTGGCTGCTGGCTCATTGCAAACCTAGCCACACCCATGCACTTTTGGAGCTTCACTATCTCCAGAGCTCTCTACAAATGGATAGTTGTGGCTGCAATTATGACCTCCTACCTGACAAACTGCCTTCCACTGGGAGTCTTGTGCCAAGCGGAGACACATCATTGAGTCAATCTCACCCATTGCTTTATAGTTCACCATCACAGCTGAATCTAGCCTGAAGCATCAGGTTTTAATCCCCTAGATTGCCTGGAAACACAGCTGAATCAGCTCATCTAGTCATCCAGGTAAGGCAGAAGGGTGAACCATTGTCACCAATTTTCAGATTAAAGATAAGGAATTAAGTTCTACCACTGGCCTGCTGGGTGATCCTGCACATCACTTCATCTCTGCACCTGAGTTTCCCCCTTTGGAAAATGGGAGTAATGATACTGACCTCCTTTGTAAAGTACTTTTAAGAACTCGGATGAGAAGCACTTTGTAAAAGTGAAGTACTAGAAAATGTGTTTCTGCCTTTCCCTTATTATTGGCCCAAACTTGCATATACTTGCTACCAAGCATAGTGCCCGCTACCATGTGTATTCCAAGAGCAATAAGTGTTCCAGGATCACTAGTTTTGCACTTTGTAAGTGTTGTTTGGTGTCCCAGTAATTTGACTGGTGCCCTAGGTGGCACTAGGATACAACAAATCAAAACAGTCCCAGACCAAAGCAACCCTTTTCCAAATTAGAGGGACACCACCAATTTGGGGCAAAAAACATCCACACATGATTTAAAAAAAAAAAAAAAAAAAAAAAAAAAGACACACTATTCTACATTACATTATATAGATTTCTTGCTTTTAATGGCACTGTGTGTGCTGTCAATTTCCTCATTTCGCTTGTATAGTGAACGTTTGCCTTGTTTGTTCAGCTCTTCCATACATTAAATATGAGAGAGACTTTTTGAAACAAGATAGCATCTGTAAAGCCAGAAGACTTGGCAGGGGGAGGTGTAGTACATAAAACTAATTAAAAATAGTCTAGATCCCAAGGTAATGATCTTGAAGACACACTGTGGTAGCATAACTCCTTTTTGCTTGCTGGTGAATGTAGTGGTGGTGACATCGACAGCACTATTTTTGTCTCCCCACCCCTAACCTAGTTTTCAGATGTGGACCCAGCAAACCTATTTTAAGTATTTCCCCTTCATGGCTGACCTCTACTTCTTACCTGGGATATTTGCTGCTTGATGCTCAGGCCTCTGGCTCATGTCTTCAGTACTTACATCGATGCAAGAGTCCTTCACGTGGCCACTATACAGCTATGGTCACATAGAGCAACAGCTACTCTTCGAGCACCTACATTCTCCCTCAAACCTCACTCTACTGGATCAGGTTTCGCAAAAGCCAAGCCACCTCCACCCTTAGACTGGAACTGAAGCACAACACCTCTCTGGGGGTTATTTTGTAGAGTTTATGGGCTGGGGTGGTGGCAGCTCTCTTTGTGTGAGGGTTCCTGGTCACACGCATCCATTCAGTGGCTCTTCCTTGAACCTGCCTCTCTGGAACCTGCTTTCCAGTGATCTCTCCTCTCCCATGCAGCGGATGTGTCTGTGGCTCTTTGACTAGTGTTCCCTCCTACAGTACCCTTTTACTGGGCCCTCCACCTACAAATGAATTTCACCCTTGCTGAATAAATATTTACTAAAACTAGATTGCTAAGCAGTCCAAAGAGGTCAGAGTAGAGACCTCGTCTTAAGACACAAGATTTTTCCTATACTGACATCTACAAAGCTACCAAGAACAGTAAATAGTTAATTGCCATCCACCAAGATTTGTTTTAGCTGTGGTTCCTTTTTAATTCACCCACCCCCCCATTTCCTGTTACATAAAAACTATTAGAAAAAGCCATGCCCATTGCCCTAGCAATGCTCAAGATAAGCAAGGTGTTGAAATACAGATAAGATCATTTTAGGAAATAACTGTGTAAAATACTTTATTTGATAAAAGTTGCTGTAATATCAGAACAAAACCAAATAAAAAGGTCCTATCCATTATTAGGTCTTGTTTGCAATATTTCATATGTATGTACCTTTGCTTCCACAAACAAATCTCCTCCATCTAGGTTCATATACTCCATCACTGCAGCATTCAGATACCACAGTGATGGCATAGCATAAGAACCTGAAAAGGACTTCCAGGCTTAAGATACACTATAATTATTTAAACCAATGAATGTAGGTAAAGTGACCATATATTTAAAACAGACATAGCAATAATTTTTGTCCTATAGACATTTTGATCTTGCCACAATCCATTAGTAACATCACTCTAGAACAGAGGTCCTCAAACTGTGGGGCAAAACGCTCGGGGAGGAGGGAGGAAGGAAGGGAGAGGGCATGGTGGGGCCCAGGCCAGCCCCCAGGGGGGTGGGGAGGGAACACCACCCAGTCCTTCCGTTCCCAGCTCTGCTCCAGCCCCATCCCCAGCTTTGGCCCCCTTATCCCAGACCATGTCTCCTCTCCCACCTCCCCACCCGGGAGCCACAGCTAGGAGGTTCAGCTTCCTCTTTTGGTTATTCATCCCCATGCTCCTGTATCATCTGCAACCAGGCTGAGATTATATCACAAGGGGCTGCATGTGAAATGGCCATCTGTTTTCCAAGAACAGTTATCAAATTATGTTTCTTCTTGCCTAAAACCTACCCTCTAACACTGCTTGAGAAGTTTTCTTAAAAAAAAAAAACCACTTTTAAATGTTCCTTTCAAGTTTCTTTTTCAGGATATGGTAGCTAAATTACATACAAATAGATGTCAGCAAAAATGGCCCCAGAAAACATTAAGAAACCAGATTTCAAACATCAGGAAGTTTGGGAAAGTCCAGATCCTGGGATTTTGCCTGAGGTCCATCTATACTTGTTGGACTCTTTAAAGTAACTCAAATCTGAGATGGATCAGGTCCTGGACAGCAGGAGAATAATGAACTTACACACTCAATTCTGTGGCTCACTTTGTAAGAAAAGCATTCTCTCATGGAACTATCTCCCTTCCCAACATCCCCCATGGACGATTCTCAGTTCTCAGCAGAAAAAAAATTCTTCCGCCCTGTGAAACCTCAGTTGCATTTACAAATAAAATAAATAAAGGCAGAAGTGAGTAAACATGGTAGAATCAGCTGGATAGGAAGCATACAGCATAGCAACTGACCCTCCCCAAAGAGCCAATTTAGATACAGCAGTGCAATCTTTTGTGTATTTCCTTTTCCAAATTACTCAGGCGAGTCATAAGTTGTCCAGACTGCAAAACAAAGGCAGGTTTTAGGATGCATGGAGTTTTCCTGTCCAGTTAGAAAGGGGGAAGGGTTTAAGTATGGACAGACCTAATCACAACAGGATGTCACCAAGTGTTTTAAAATAAAAAAGAAATGAGTATTTAAATGAAAAAACTGCAGTAACTGCAGTCACTCAACTTCATTCCCAGTACTAGTGTACTATAGTAACCTATACTGGAGCATTCAGGGTCAATGGCCTTTACATTACAAGGAGTCAAGAGTTCTAAAGGACATCCATGATCCCACAGACCAGTATTCTGGACAAATAGATAGCTTCTTCGGTTCTCTCCAGCATTATAGTCCTTTTGAAGCAAGCCACAGCATGGACTTACCCAGAACAAAATGTATTTGCCAACAGCCAACTCACTGGTGTCAGAAGGCTAGTCCAGAACACATTTTAGCTTTCAGGGGAGAGAACCAAGGAAAGCTACGTTTGATACTCTGACAGACGGGATGGCAGACCAGGTAGAAATAGTACAAGCAATATGAAGAAACATGCAGACATACAAACCTCAAATTTAAAATATATTCAGTACTCAGAAGTGTGCATGTAACAGCATGGGTAAGGCACAATGCCAGCTATGCCAATGCACCTCCATTTTGACCTATAGCATGCCCTGTGCTATTCCAGCCCCGGACCCCACCACCACCACCACCACACACACACACACAGCTCTGCTAGTGAACCTCACAACTGACCTGCAGCAGCTCCAGGCTTTTCGTGCTCAAACACTGATAGGTGGATGGAGGGCGCATTTACACACACAAAGCCTTATTTGCATTGATGATCTTGAGAACCCCAGGTTTCACTAGCCTTTCACCTCTTGAGCAAACTCGTGATACCTCAGTGCACCTCCGTACACATGGAACTGAACAATAAAAAAAGGCATTTGAGAAGGAATGTCTATTCTTACTTACGTAAGATCTAATTAAATAATTTTCCCTCTGATGTGTGCTACTAATATAGTATAAATTACACTTCAGATGACTGCCTTGGAAAACAAATGGCAAAGACACTAATAAATACTTCATCTTCATACATCACAGCTGAATATGTCCTCATTCGCTGCACTGAGGAGGGCTTGCAGTAGAACTGCTTGGCATCTCTTCCTGTCTTCTGTAATTCTTCATAACACTGTATATGCCACTGACCAAGAACACCAGCGATATGGCTGCAAAGTAACTAGCGTAGATCATGAACTGCAGAGTGGGAGAGAAAACTGATAAGTTAAAGGTTAGCAAATCCACTCCTCTCCATCCTTATATGAAAGGAAAAATATTCAGTTTTTTTTTAAAAATAGGATTGGTGAATGAAGTGTGCTGCATCTAGTTCATTATCTGGATTTAATCACTACTTTCATTAGAACTGGTGAAAGACTCTAGACAAATTGAGTTTAGTCTCCAAGGCTGCTTACCTAAAAGGGACCAATGCCACAGTGTGCGCACAGAAAAACCTCTCACTGAACTAAACAGGAGCTTCACTTGCACAGGGCTACAGGAAGATGTCTAGAATAGAACAGTGGCAGCCCAGCCCTCCCATACACCTGTTCCTCAAACCCTGTCTTAATGGGGTGAGATGGGAGCTCAGCCTCCATCCTTGACTACTCAGAGAAAATTAACAAGGCAGCCAACTGGTGCTAAGTGTGGTTGTGGTTCTGTAACATGGACACAACTGTCTGTTAGCAACAGAACTGAAACACTATTTTTCTTCTCTCTCCACACACAAGGTCACAGAGCAGGTCACTGAACACCCTCTGAACAGCAATGACCTGGATCAGAAGCACACACCGGGTACGTCAATACTTACTTCCTGGTCCGGATGTAAGCGATCGATCTTCTGGGATCGATTTATGGCGTCTTGTCTAGACGCGATAAATCGATCCCGGAAGTGCTTGCTGTCGACGCCGGTACTCCAGCTCAGCGAGAGGAGTACGTGGCATCGACGGGGGAGCCTGCCTGCCGCGTCTGGACCCGCGGTAAGTTCGGACTAAGGTACGCAAATTCAGCTACGTTAATAACGTAGCTGAATTCGAAGTACCTTAGTCCGAAGTGGGGGGTTAGTGTGGACCAGGCCACAGATGACAGAAGCAGGAGGGAGGCTCCACATTCTGATTTACATCCCTTCCTTCTTCCCCAGTTAGTAAAGATAAAGCAGTGATCTTACCTGTGTGAATATGTTTAGCCCAAGACCACTGGAGTCAACAACAATCAAGGTGAGCAAAGTCTGCAAAGCCAAGGCAATGAAAGTATTGATACCAAACACCAGGGCGTACCGCTCCATGCTTAGATTGGTAGCAATTTGGAACCTAAGCAGAAAACCAAAGGGAGAAATGTGAATACAGGAGGAAAAAGGAAGAAGGAACCTTTCAGGGTAAAACTATGTAGGGTGAAAAGTTAATTCATAAACTGGCTAAATATTTCCACAGCCATATCATTTGGCACTGTGATCTTATCACATCTCACAAGCTAAGCAGGGTCACAGCTGGCTAGCACTGGGGAAAATGTCACAGGGAAACCCAAACTGCTGCAGAAAACAGTTTCAGAAGTTCAGTAAGTTGCACTCTTTATCTGAGTCAGTACTGAAATACTCTCTCCTGGTACCTGAATGGCTCTGTGCCGTTGGAAGGGGCCATCTTTCAGAAGTCATACAGAAGACCCACTAGCACAGGGTGTATGTACTCCACACTGGCCCAGCAACTAAAGGGTTAATACAGGCACTGCCAACCACTGTTGACTGGCAGTCGCTCAGCAGCTGGGGGGATACAAGGGCTGGGAAGCAGGGGCTATCAGAGGAGTAAGCAGGCTGGAGAAAGGAGCTCCTGTCAGCAAACTTCTAAAGAGTTGCCCAGGGATGAAGGGACCAACCGCCTGTGGTACCTGAGAACAAAGAGGGTATCCCGGGCACCAGAAACAGACTGACAGCCCCGCTGAGCTGAGTGAGCTGGGCTCATGCCCTGCTTGGCCAGAAGGGGGCACGCTTGCACTGACTCCCACCCTCCTCCTTTAAGGAGGAGACTTGTTATTGGTTGTCTTGGCCAGATTCCAATTTGTCCTACTGAGGAAAACTCCCTTTGCAGTTTACAGTGGATTACAGTATTTCCTTCACTTCCCAGCTAACCTGTGCTGCAGTGTTTGATTAAACAGTTGCTGCATTCCACTCCACAAGTGACATAATATCATCTCATTTTCCTTCTGGTATGTCTAAACTTTGACCATGTATTATTGACATAGCACTTGCCCCTCTTCCCCTCCCTATGGCTTCACTCAAACAAACAAACAATGTTTATGGAAAAACATTTCACTGACAGGTAACACTACCCAGTATTTATAAACAATGACTTTAGTATCACAAAACCTCTGTTCTATTCCCAGGTCTGCCATTGAACTGCAGGCAATTTGTCAACGCTCAAATGTAAAGAACTTGGCAGTGCCTTTTGTGCAAGGATCTTCTACATGCAAAACATTAAGCCAGTTTTGAGACAGACAGCTATAATCTTGTCAAGGTTTTATTTTTGGTTTGCTTTTTAAATTAAAATACCTACGTTGCTATTGTGATGAGAAGCATGTAGACAATTCTGAAGATTACATATGAGGCATAACACACCCAGATGTTACGAACAGTGTCCATGACATATACAGCAGCAGCAATGAGGAAGGAGAACAGGGCCAATGCCACCTCACCCCAGGTAGCCCAGGATACTTTTATGTAACCCACAGCAAATACAGCAACAGCTCCTATAAGTAGAAAGGAAAACAAAATACAACTTGATAGTTGCTCAGACATTCAGCTTAAACCTTCTGTGCATTAGATTAAGAGAAACTAATGTCTAAATATACGAGATGTGCACGAGGGGAGCTCCACTACTGTGCACATTTAAAACCACACACAGAAATTGTAGGGCTGCAAAGAACCTCGAGAGGCCATCAAGTCCAAACCCCTGTCAGAGGCATCCCTGACAGGTGTTTGTCTAATCAGTTCCTAAAAACTTCCAAAGATGGGGGATTCCACAACCTCCCTTGGAAGCCTATTACAGTGCTTAACTACCCTGAGAGTTAGAAAGTTTCTTCCAATATCTAACCTAAATCTCCCTTGCTGTAGACTAGGCCTAGAACAAGAAGTAATATCTTCAGTGGGCTTGGAGAACAATTGATCACTGTCCTCTTTATAACAGCTCCTAATATATTTGAAGCTGAGGGGGAGCCTGATAAGACTTTTCTCAAGACAACATGCCCAGTTTGTTTAACCTTTACTCATAGATTGGGTTTTCTAAACCTTCTATCATTTTTGTTGCTCTTCTCTTGACTCTTTCCAATTTGTCCACATCTTTCCTGAAGCATGGTGCCTAGAACGAAATGCAGTATTTCAGCTGAGGCCTCACCAGTGTCAAGTAGAGCAGGACAATTACTTCCCATGTCTTACATACAGCACTCTTGTTAATACACCACAGAATGTTAGATTTTTTTTTGCAACTGCATCACATAGTTGACTCATATTCCATTTGTGATCCACTATCACCTCCAGGATCTTTTCAGCAGTACTCCCATCTAGTCAGTAATCCTTAATTTTGTAGTTGTGGATTTGAGATTTTCCTTCCTACGCGAAGTATTTATCTTTACTGAATTTAATCTTGTTGATTTCAGACAAGTTCCCCCAATTTGTCAAGGTCATTTTGAATTCTAATCCTGTCCCTCAGAGCGCTAGCAATCTCTCTGTTTGGTGTCATCTGCAAATTTTATAAGGACACTCCCCACTCCATTAGCCAAGTCATTAATGAAAATATTGACTAGTACCAAAACACAGGAGTGGCCCCCATGGGATACCCTCTCCGTTTGGTAGTGAACCGTTGATAACTACTTGGAGTACGGTCTTTCAACCAGTTGTGCACCCATCCTACAATAATTTCACCTAGACCACATTTTCCCTAGTTTGCTTATGAAAACGTCATGTGAGACTGTGTCCAAACCCTTATGAAAATCAATAGAGTAGGGTTCTCAACAGTACTCATCATTGGCCTAACTCATCTCTAGTTAGAGTCTATGGTAACCTCCTACTAGACTTCAATGGGAATAAAGTCAAGCTAGCACCAAGTGCTTTTGAAAATCCCACCCTAGCTCTGCAAGAGAGCAACCCTGGTGCCCCAGACTGTAGCTGTTTCACTCGTTCTCATACAATCTTCCGGCTCAGATCTGAGTGAGCTATTCTGACCCCATCATCAGGAGGTACTGTACTCTAGCAGTCAGGTTTGTTCTGTTACTTATTTAAACTTGGCCGAGCACTATGGAGGCAGGTGGTCTAATGGTTAAGGCAGAGAGGTGGGAATTAAACCTGCTGCGTTCTGTGCCTAGAAAGTGATGATCTGTCATGGGCCAAGTCTCTTATGATCTAGTCCTCAGAGGTGCTGAGCAACCTGTTCCCACTGAACCCCACGCAAGTGCTCAGCACCTCTGGGGAAGGGAAGGAATACAAGGCCATTCATATTTATTGCCTCAGTTTCCCCAACTAAGCTAGGAGGGCGATACTGCATTAGGCGCCATCGTTGTGTATCATTTAGTGCTCCGCTGAGTGAACATGTTAGAGCAGTATTAAAAGTATCCCCACAGCTGTGACAAAGAATGTCCAGTAGACTTCTCCTATTACACAAAAGTTTTTCACTTATGCCTTACCTGACCCTTTCAGTCAAGCAAGACTTTTGGCAACTGAGGATACAGGGCAGACTATTTTGAGGCTCACAAGTTTCTTCCAACTAAAAATGGTGGTAGCTCAGTCTGTTTGAGCAATGAAGCCATATAGCCTCAACGGCATTTAAACTGGCAGTCATGTTAACACCTAATAGTACACAGGGAATTTGTCATACACCTGGAGAGTTTTGTTAAACATTCCAGAGCTGCAACTGCTTTGGGAGGGTCCTGTAACACTGCACATTGCAGGTAGAAAGACCAGGTATTTCAACATTTCAATACCTACCTCTTGGATTACAAAATCAGTGCAGTGCAGCTGAGTCACCCTTAGACAATTCACATGAAACTCACCCAATGAAAATTTGATTCAGTGTCATTCTCTCGCCTGTACATGATAGGAAGCGCTGCAACAACAGACCTGTTTTGGCAATACTCAGTTTGAAGGACGTAACATGCTAATTCTGTGGTTTGTTATAGTGTTTAGATGCCTTGTGACATGCACCCTTTGAAACTGGAGTTAAGTAGGTAGCTTACCTAGTAGCGTAGAAACTGCCTCCACGCCACCATTATAGATCTCGAACCTCTGAGAAGGCAGCACCATTTCCCACAAGCCTTGCGTGTAGTTTATTACCTGGAAGTAGCCACAAGTTGAGAATGCCCACCACACAGACCAGCAGAGCATAGGCCGGGAGGAATAGCACTGCAGGAAGTCCCGCCACAGCTCTCTGAGCACCTTTGAGATCTCCACTTTCTGCTCCTGCACAGATTTAAAAAACAAAAAAAATTCAAAATCCCATTTCTGAATGATTCCCCTTACTCCACAAGTGCACTTATCACTGGCAGGAAGTGCCAGAGCAATAGCCCAGTCTGTCACACAGCAGGCAACAAAGCATCCCCACCAGGCTGTCCCAGCGACACGCTTTCCCACCCTAGCCCTACATGGGTGAAGAAATAGCTCATTCTCCATGATCTAGGTAAACCTTGGCCTCTGTGCTCTAAGGGTCAATTTACTGCTAGTTTGGTGGAGGAGAGACTGATTTCCCCCTCCCCACCCTATTCACCAGGAACTGGACAGAAGCTACCAACTTACATCACACAGGCCACAGAGTCATATCAAATAACAGCTTCAAGTCATTGCCAACCTGACCTGGATTTGAGCCCGAAACCAAGTAGTAAGAGTTTGAGAGCAACCACGGAAGTTTTCCGAAGCAGGTATTTGGAACTTTCCCACAAAATCAGTTTTTAGAGATTACAATTATTCAAATTAGTGGCCCTATTACATAGCTTCATACGCCATTTATCAAGAGACGCAATATAATTACATAGGTCAAAAGGCTCAGACAATCATAGATATGTTGTCTGGAGGAGATCTGAAGGGTGATGGAGAGTCTATGGAGCAAAGATTGAAGAAGGTTGTTTCAACAGAAATAGGAGCTGCAGAGCAGAAGTTTCATGCAACCACAGTTGTTGGACTGTGTGAAGAAAAAAACTTAAGGTCTCTTCTCATGCAGCTCAGTTAACATGAGGTTAGGTAGAGAAGTTACAGGGGACAGATTTTTTAAGTGTTTGCCTCGGGTGGAGAGAACAGAAATTAATTATCCATCAGAGAGGCTGGTTACTTTAGTATCTAACATGGAATTATATTCCCTACTGCTTTATGTGAACAGCACCAGAGAAAATTAGTACTAGCCTGCTTTGTAATAGAGATGCTAGATTTCAGACTACTTTGGTTCAGTAGCAAATCTAGCAACTCCTCACGCCAAATGAAAACAACAGTATGCAGGAATTGTACAGAGTAATTTGAATTGTACCAAGACACTGCAGGGTTCTTCCCAAAACCATTAAGGGTCATATAAGCACCATTAGGATTTCTCCTTCCCAACCCCCCCTCCCCCCCCACTCCCCCCACCCGCGCAATGGACATCAGCAGCCCCTTATGCATGGAATGTCCTTCCTGAACTAGTTTGATTTGAAGGACAAGGCAGGAGCTCCACAGTCCTCAAAACCCAGTTCTACCGTGATACCTATTAGCAACCGGAGGTTTTATATGCAAGTTACATTTATACAAAAAAAATGCTGAGAATGTTAAGGTTGAGAAAAGTCAAGCCCCTGAAAGTTAGGAAATGCCATATTTATGGTGGTCTGTGCAATCTTAATTTTACCCCCTTATACACCCATTCTGTACACTGAATGAAGCAGGGGTCCTGTGGGGGAAAAAACAGTATATGATCATGCAATTAGACATTATCATAATGTGTCGGCACAAGAGGGCCAAATTAAGGTTACCCAGGCAATTGTAAAACTGGCATTTCTCTACTTTTGAGTGCTGGACTCTGCAACCTAAATAATATTGTTTTCATGTAATTTGAGGTTAAAAAAAATAAGAGATAACCAAGTTCTACTGTGGACAACCCTCCTCCCTGAATCATGCTATGCTGAATGTGAACGAGACTAGGTGTGGGAGGGGGATGTTAGCTTTCTGATGCAAAAAGTACCTCACTGATGCCAGCATAATGTTTACTGTATAAGGAGAAAGTAGCTGCTCAATAATGATCAGCTTCTCTCACCTTTCAGGAATGACCAGGCCAGGATTCTCAGACCCACATGAATCAGAGCCACTGAAGACAAGAGATTTACAGACTACCAGCCCTTCCAGCCACTCTCTTGATCCTACAAAGTGAGTGGCAGCTGGCATGCTTGGTTTCACTGAGGCAATAATAGGACAGTAAACAACACCTGTCATCCAAGGATCACATACATTTACAAGTGGACATTATGGTTAGGTTAAGTGACTTGCCCATGGTTCATTCATGGCTAGGGCCCTACTAAATTCAAGGCTGTGAAAAACGTGTCACGAACTATGACATCAGATCTCCACCATGAAATCTAGCTATTGTAGGGGAGAAGGAGGGGCAGGGTTCCTACTGTGCATCAGGGTCCAGCTGCTAGCCCCAGTGGGGCTGAGCAGGGACGACACTTCCTCTTCCCTTGCACGACTGTTCTCAGGGGGAGATCAGACCCACCACTGGACACCTCCCCAAGCTGCAGGAAGCTCTGTGGCTACGCTGCCTTCAGAGCGTGGCTGTGAAGACAGCAGCCCTGGAGCTTCCTCCACCTAAGGGAGGCTCCTGGAGGTGGGTCTGATTTCCCCTGTGCTGCTAGGAGAGCCCCATCCGGGCTGGGGAGGGACGGAACTTCCTCTTCTCCTGCACGGCCACTCTCGGGGGCGGGAGGGGGGGGGAAGGAATGGGGAACCACAGTGAATGAGAGCTGCAGGGGCAGTGCCTTTGGACAGGGGCAGTGTGCAGAGCCACCTGCCCCTCCCCACACCAGGAGTCTGCTGGCCAGACATGCCAGCTGCTTCCAGGAGCAGCGCAGGGCCAGGGCAGGCAGGCAGCCTGCCTGCCTTAGTCCCGCTTGCCACCGCTCGGGAGCTGCCTCAGGTAAGCAGCACCCGCGGGAGCGTGCATCCCAAACCCTTCCTGCACCCCAGCCCTGAGCCACCCCGCACCCCACCCCAGAGCCTGCACCCCACACCCCCTTCTGCATCCCAAACCTCTGCCCCAGCCCCCTCCCAGAGCCCACACCTTGCACCCCAACCCTCTGCCTGAGTCCCCCCGGAGCCAGCACCCCACATCCCCACCTGCACCCCAATCTCCTGCCCCAGCTCTGAGAGCTCTCCAGCACCCAAACTCCACCCCAGAGCCTGCATCCTGAACCCCCTCCTGCATCCCAACCTCAGCCCAGAGCCCTTCCCACACTCTGAACCCATCAGCCCCAGCCCAGAGCCTGCACACCCTCCCAACCCTGTCCCAGCCCTTTGAAAGTGAGGGAGGGTGGGGGAAAGAGTGAGCAGAGGGGGGGATGGAGTAAGTGGGGCAGGGCTTCAGAGAAGGGGGAGGGCAAGGGTGTGTGTAATTACGGTTATTTCTACATTTTCCTTGAAGGTAGATCCTGGGTTGCACTTAAATTCAAAAAGTGATCTTCTGCTTAAAAAGGTTGGAGACCACTGCTCTAGTGCTCAGCTCTAGTAGCCATAAGACACTCCCTATGGAATGATTTCTTGGTGCTCTGCCAGTTGCAGTAAGTTCAGTAATTGTCTAGATCCTTGTTCTCTGGGTGGGTGCAAACAAATGCAATTTTCTAATGACAAAACACAACCAGTTTGAGGACACATCAGCACAAAACAATGGATGCTGTTTCTATTCTTGCCCTGAGCAGAGGATTTCAGATAGAGCATGGATTTAGGTGTAAGAAAGTTAGGGAACAGATTTGCATGTAGGAAGCAGCCACTGATTCTTGAGGTCCAAAGTGGCAGGTATTGGATGCTTCAGAAGGCAGGATCCCCTAAACATTTTTTTAATTGTGCAGTGCTGCACGGGGAGATATAAAATTCTTCCCTGAACCCTGTAGCCATCAGGTTATGCTCCTGAGATTTAACTGCCATTATCTTAACATGCAAAACCATTATGGAGCAATGTTATTCAGCTCTACTTTGGTTTTAAAAAATGAGAATAATGGAGCCTCAGTATTTAAATATCTGGTGTAATTTAACTTCCTAGATGACTGTAGTTGATCTCAGAGAGCATTCCCTTTATTTTATTTAGATTCTCCATCAAGGCCTCCTTGTTCCTGTATTACAGGACATTAAAAAAAAAAAATAGATATTTTTTCAGTAATCCCTCAATCAAACGGCACAGAATGACATTTTTTTATTACTGAGTGTTTTCAGCATATTGAGTACGCTGCAATGGAAGACAGGATCCTTGCCTCAGGTTGCTCACATTCGACTCCCTTAACATATCCTTTCCTCCCAAGTAGAAGAATTCTGAAGGCATTTACAGCTATTGCTAGATGAAATGGTCAGTGAAACGGACAAGGAAAGTGCTATCCTATTGCTGATGCCACTGCGGACAAATAGTCCAGATACCGTTAGGACTGACTGAAAAAATCCCCAGGCTGAAGGTTAGAGAGGAGGAAGGCTTTTGATCAAGATCACTTGTTCAACAGTCCATTACATGTACCTGAGTGATCCAGTAACTCCCCCACCCCATCCCACTAAAAGCAGCAAAATAAAAGAAAGACTTCCCTTCATCTATGCTCAGTGGTTCCTCCAGTTCTCTCAGTAAAGGGGCCTTGCAAAACTGTTAGATTGGGTAAGATTAATTCCCGGGAATGTTAATAGGTTTAATTCTCAGCGGTAGCCTATGAAAGGATAAACCCTTCTGGCTAAAATGAAGCCCAACATTGTTGCCCTCCTTCCACTCATTGCCAGGGATAATATTTGAAGAGAAACCTGGTTGGAGAGACTGACACATTATATAGCCATACTGACTCTAGCTCTCCTGAAATTCTTATGCAGGATTTTATCTTACCTTGCAACTCCCTTTTGCAGGGACTTCTCATGCCTCAGCTTTCCAGCATGTGCAAGAGTGATACAGTCCAAATTCTTGTGTGTGCTTGTACCTACTTCGAATCTTGCCCCAACCTTAACTTCACTGACTCTCCATTCACTTCAGGATCCAGCTAGAAAGTGATTTATTTGTATTAAAACTCTCCATGAACTTACTCTAACCCACCTTATGGACCTGGTCTCTCCATGCCCCCCCTCAAATTCTGCATCAGCCTCCGCCTGATCAAAGTTATGACCAAACGCACCCCTGTATTCACACCCTAGAGTAATCATTTTTGCACAAAATATGCTTTTTGAGGTATCACTTGAAACCTAAAAACTCATTGATCAATGATATCATGGTAAAGTGTACGTAGCAACATTATATGTCAAGTTGCATATTTTCCCCTGTATGATGTTGGTAGCACATCATCAAACCCATGCAGCCCTGACTAGAAAGCAGTGGTTATCAGGTCTGTCCTAAACAAAGGAATGTGTTTACCTCTATTTACATATACACTGAGATGGTGCAAAGCTGCATTTCAGCATATACAAGAGAGAAGAAAGAGGATGGGAACACCTTCACCCCCAGACTCCACATAGCCGCATTTACTGTTTGAATAAACTTTGCTTTGAGGGTTAATCCTCAGAAGAATCTACTTCAAAGGGGGACTGGACTATAAAAGTGAGGGGCAAATACACACTTGGGGATCTCTCTGTCTCTTTTTCACCTAAGACAACAAAGGAACAAGCCTTTGGACTTTGGGGAGGGGTTCGGACCTAAGAATTCGGTCATCCTTGTTGCTGGGAACAGGTGATAAGGATTTACCTTGAGCCAAGTCTAGCTTGTTTAGTTTTAAATTAAAGAATAGAAAGTTTCTTTACGTACAAAGTGATTTTGAGTACAAATATAAGGCATTAAAGTCAGAAATGGTTACAAGAGAAACAAAGAAAATGCTTTTTGGGAACTAAAAAGTATCTAGTATTGTGTTTAAACTGAATTATTTGGTAACTCCAAGTAGTAAACTGTTGTACATTGACCCCTTACTTGGGCAACAAACCTATAATATCTGGAGCGTCCAGGAGGGGGTTGGGTAGTGAAGAACATATTTGGGAGTGGCAGTGTGTTGAGGTCAACCTGCAAGTAATAATGAAGGCTGCTGGAAACAAGAGTGTGACTGCAGTGTTCCTGACAGGCTCCTGGGGTCAGAATTGCTGGACCAGGGTTGTGACTGTACACTCAGGGTGTGATCTGCATGCTGGCAGGCTGACTGTGAGCGACCCAAGATTGAAGAGCAAGCGATGACACATCCCCTCCCTGGTCTGGATTGCCCCTCGGAATGTGATGCAAATATCACCAATAACAGTGCAAGAGCTTTCTCCCCTGTAGCTCCTAACATCTTTTCATCAAGCTGACTCATCTCATTTCAAGTCCCTCCTGAAGGGCTTCTTTATCCATGAGTTCTTTGTCACTTACTGATCTTATACCTGTACCACAGTGTATACACACAAGCGTTTGCTGTAATTTATTGTCACTCATTATAAAGAATTTCAGCAGAGTTAGTACAAAGAAACTTCCAGGATCAAAAAAATAGGACTACGTTCGTTGTAGTCCAGTTACAGCAATTACATATGCCAAGTGGTAATAAGTTAATTATATAACTGGGCAACTGGACAAATTTAAAATACTCCCACAGGCTTGCATCAGAACTTAGTGCACACAACCCTAAATTCTTGTACCGATTCAGTATCTTCCTGGCCAGATTAAATGATTAGCAAATTCACTTGCAATGAAACTCTATAGTTCCTCAGTTTTTTTCCCCCCTCACTCAGTTATTGAGGTGGCAGCTGCAAGCTGCATATTATGATGCCATGGGGGTGTATTAACTGCACTTTGGGCACCCATAAGGTTCTCACCACCTCCCCCCCAAAAAGTGTTTCATTTCATAAATAACTGAATGGAAATATGAATTTCCTCTTTGGTAATATAAAGCACTAGAGAATTTTAAATAAAATGACCAGGTACCTGCAAGAATAATGCACTACATGTGTTTTTCAAAGTTCGGGTCGTGACCCAGTACTGGATCACGGCATGTAAGGCACTGGGTCGCCTGGCTCAGAACCCTGGGACATTGGTGGTGCTGCTTAGGTAAGGCAGGCTAGTGCCTACCTGCTCCGACACCGCCTAGGAGCCAGGCCTGCTGATGGCTGTTTCCGGCGCGCAGCACAGCGGTCCATGGTGCCAGGAGAGGCAAGAAGCCTGCCTTAGCAACTCTGCTGACCGGGAGCTGCCGGAGGTAAGTCCATGCCCCGATCCCCTGCCCAAACCCTGAGCCCGCTACAAACCCAGAACTTCTTCCTGCACCCCAAGCCCCTCATCCCCAGACCCACCCCAGAGCCTGCACCCCCAGGCCAGAGCCCTGACCGCCCACACACACTCCAACCCCCTGCCCCAGCCCAGAGCCCCCCCCACATCCTCGTTCCTGGCCCCACCCTACAGCACTCATCCCTGCACCCCAACCCTCTGCCCCAGCCCTGAGCCCCTCCCACACCCCTCATCCCCAGCTCCGTTGGGTCGCAGGCATCAACAATTTTCTTCAATTGGGTCCCCAGAAAAAAAGTTTGAAAACCACTGCACTACGATACTGTGTGATCAAAAGGAAGCCAGGAAAGCACTTTCCTGGGCCATGCATAGGTGAGGGGGTGAAGAGGGATACCTTTTGCTGTCAGGTAATTGAGACACACAGTTCACTACATATACAAGGTGGCCATGATAGTGACATATTCCAGGGAAATGGAAGACAACAGCATGGCTTACCTGTGTCGCTGCAGAATGCTCTTCTACATTTAAGGGAACTTTCGATTCAATGTCTTCCCACCCAGGGACTCTTTTTAAGGCAGGATCATCTCCGATTAAAGTTCTAGATTGTAAAAATGGAGTTGTCATCTCCCTACTGACCTGGCTTCTCAAGACGTGGTGAAAGAAAAGACTTTTCTGTGGCATTGGCAGAAACCAAGCTGTGGCAAAAGCCACAGACACAGAGGTCAGGGAGATGACGTTCAAGCTGAACAGAGACCAATTGGCAACCGATACCAGAACCTGTCCACAGATGGAACCCACAGTGTAACCCACCAGGGTGGCACTTCGACAGTAGCTGGTGACTTTCTGGTACAAGTTCAAATCCACAATGCTATAGATGTAGGAATAATAGGCAATCTCCGTAGCAGTCACCAATCCATAGAAGAACTCGAGGAACTGAATAGCTAGCAATCCTTGGGCATAGAGCAGCATGAACCATGTCACTATAAGGCTCAGTCCCTGGAGGAGGATTACAGGTTTGTACCTGAGATAGTCTGTTGCAAGGAATACAGGAAACAGCAACACCAAATAAGAGTAGGTCCATACTGGATAAATTTCATTGAAAACCTGTAAGAAGAAAAGCAAGCCATTAACCAATCACCTGGGAAAGTAAACTCTGTATTTGAAAGTTCAAAGAAAAAGATTCCTAAACACAGACATTTAAGAAACAGCAGGTAAAACCATTTCCCAGCAATGCCAACAAATAATCTCTACAATATACTCAAAATGCAACATCCCTCCCTTCTACCTCTAGTTAGTGCTGTACAGGGAGCTAGAGGTAACAGTAGATTTGAGTTTGGATACTTAGAATAAAAAACTTAAATTTATACATATCCTTCCATCCCCAGAATTCCCAGAGTGCTTTACAAATACAATAATTTTCATCCACTAGTGAAATGCAACACCCATATACCAGACTACTATGTAGATGCTTAAGTACTTGCATAAGGCTTTCCAGGTGTAGATCACAGAGTACTTTACAGAAGTGGGTAAGTTACTTTATAATATATTTATAAATCATTATACATTTTACATCCAAGGAAACTGACTTGTCCAAAGTCACACAACGGACCAGTGGCAGAACCAGAAACAGAACCCAGGAGGTCAGGATGCCAGACTATAATCCAGTATCCTAGCCACTAATTAAGCTAAGGGCAAGTTTAGGTCTGAACCTGCAACTAGTACATTTGTTCATTCCTCCAATGAAGAGGAACATTACTATTAATGTTATTAACCAAAAAGTGATCATGCTTTACCGCTCATTCGTTAGTGAAGAGATAGTAGTAGCTGTTGCTTCTCTATTTTGATTCTCTTACTACTTTGCCATGTCACCAACTGACATTTACTTTTAATCAGTAGCAAATTCATTACCAGTTACAGTGGTCACTATCAACATGAAACAGTTGACATGTATATACACACACTCTCTCTCTCTCTCGCTGGATCAGTTAAAAAGCCTGCCCTGAAGTTAGCCTTTAGAAAATTCCTTTTAAGATTATTTGTACAAGTTTTTCTGGTTCCCTGTTGGGAATATCTTTATAAACACCAACAAAGGGGAAATTGACTATATACCAAGTGCTGTCAAACACTCAAACTATATTATGTTATACATTATGACATTCTCCTAAGCAAACCAGGGAAATGTGGTCTAGATGAAATTACTATAAAGTGCATGCATAACTGGTTAAAAGACTGCAGTAACAGAGTAGTTCTCAATGGTTCACAGTCCGACTGGGAAGGATTTATCTAGTGGAGTCCCACACGAGGCTCTCTGAGGGCTGTTACTATTCAACATTTTAATTAATGACTTAGTTAATGGAGTGGAGTGTATCCTTATAAAATTTGCAGATGACACCAAGCCAGGAAGGGTTGCAAACACTTTGGAGCCCAGGTTTAGAATTAGAGAATTGGTCTGAAATCAACAAGATGAAATTCAATGAAGACATGTACTACACTTAGGAAGGAAAAATCAGTTGCACAAACACAAAATGGGGAATAAATAACTAAGCAGTAGAACTGCAGGAAAGGATCTGGGGGATATAGCAGATCACAAATAAGGGTCATTGACCTTGACTAGATTACCAACAGAGTTATGGAATCCTTGTCACTGGAGGTTTTTAAGAACAGGTTAAAGAGGGATGTACTAGGAATACTTGTTCCTGCCCCAGCATAGGGCAGGGGTAGCTAATAGGCAGACCGTATGCCAAATTCAGATCGTCAGATCCTTTTGAACAGACCACAAAATCTTATCTATTTATCATCATTATTGTTATTATTTTCTCTAGAGTCTGGACCTCGACTATATTTTGACCAAGAAATTTGGACCTTGACCTCTCTAGGTTGCTTCCTGCCCTACATTGCAATAATTCCCTGTAAATATTTATAGCAATCTTAAGTGTAATTTAGAATGATAGTGCATACATTTTCAGACAGAAGTGTGACTTATGTGAGTGTCCCTTTAAACTTCTAATTTTTAGGCCATGGACATTAGTATTTTGGGAGAGCAGATCCTCCCGTGAAGATTTTCTTCCCAATAACAGCTACTCTCAATTTGTACTCTGGCATTTCCAATTGTGGGGGGTGGACCAAGTTAGATAAAACCAAAATCCAGCAGGAGTACAGGCATTTCCTACAAATCAGTGATGGCAGAATTTTTTGAGGGGTGCGGAGGAGGGAGAGAAGTGTCTTCAGTAACCTTGGATAGACCTTACTAGTTCATCCTGATCCTCCTCCAAAACTCCCCATTAACCCCACAGACTTCTCTCAAGCAGCTCTTCCAACCAGACTTCTTTCTTGTCCTTCCTCCCTACCCCAAGCAAACAGCCCTGGCCACCTTTTAACAGACCAGCCGTTGAGTTCTCACAAATGGAGCACCTTCACTCTTTTGTATACAATTCACTGCTGCATACGCGCTCCCCTCTGAACTGCAGAGCTCAGATCCCAAGGATGCTCTAAGGCTACGTCTACACTACGCAGCTTTTAGCTGTGTCGCTAAAAGTCAGGCAGCGTAGCCGCTGTTTGTCTGCAAAAATACTTCCACCCACAACGAGCAGCATTCGCATTGTCGACAGGAGAGCATGCCTGCCAACAATGCGGTGTTCACACTGACACTTCCGCGGTGTCTTCCGGGGGGGTGGGGGTGGAGAGGGCAGCACCTCTGAACGACAAAAGTTTTATCACTCAATTGCCAGTGTAGACATAGCCTTAATCTGCATGCTGTCTGCATTATAGGAACCAACTATTGCCTCTGTGGCATTTCCATCATCTTGTAGGCACACAGGCAGCAATGTCCAAAGCCACACCAATCATCATCTGCTGCCCCTAAACCATGTACGAATCTATTTAAAAAAACCTGCGTTCTCAATACATGACAGAATTATTTTTAAATTCCTGGTACTTCCCAGACATTTACAGGCGAGGAACACCAGGAAACTAGTTATCAATGGGAAGGGAGAGAGAGTGTAAATGAACCAACATTTCTGTTCCAAATCACCAGTCTGAATTCAATCAGCTGTGATTAAGAGTCACTGTACTGAAATCTACTTGACAAGAAGATCCCCAATACTTCAGATTTTTTATTTTTAAGTTTAAATGCTCCTATACACTCTCCCTGGGTCAGAGAGGCCAAGAACAGGTCAGAGACCGAGCCTATATCTAGTAGTGAGAGGGCAGTTATGTCTACACTGAAGAAAAAAAAAAAGACATTTTACAGGAAGACAACTAATGCATGTTTCTTATATTGCTGTAAAAATTCTACTAGACAAGGCACAAGTAGTTTTTAACAAAATGTAGCTAGGGGAGGATAATGCTATACCCCACACCTGGGTTTGACTTTACCTAGGCTACATCAGGGTAAAAACTACCTGTGCCTTCTCTCCACTAGGATTTACACTAAGATAGTGATCTCACTGCTTATAAAACCCACCGGGGGGGGGGGGGTAGTAGGGGGTAGAAAAAGACCTAGCCATACTCTCTCCAGCTTCAAGTTGAGGCATGTTAGGAGGGTAACATAGGGCAAGCTTACACTACTAACCCCTGCCACCCCCGTCCTGCAGAACAATGATACACTGAATGTATACAATGCGCTTAACAGGATGATCTCAAGCACTTTACAAAAGCTATTACCCCAATTTACAGAAAGGGAAGAGGAGGCATACATTGATGTGATTTTCCCAAGTTCATAGACAGACTCAATGGCAGAGCTGAAGTCCTGACTCTTGCTGCCCCAAGCGAATATGTAGGCACCACTGCCTCCCTGAAGACTAGCTAAAAAACAAACAAACAAAACAAACAAAAAAAACCCACCACCACTACACTAACAAGGAGTCACATTGCAGCAGGGGGTGCAGTAGCCAAACTCCACCGGGGAGATTCCATTTTGTCTCCCTACAATCCCAGACGACCCCCTGCCATCAGACAGTCACCACCTGAGCTGCGCCATTGGGTGGGGGTGCTGTGCACAGCTGCCCTCACTCCCCCCAGGGGGATACTCTGCCCGGAGGGGGGGGGGATGCAGATGCAATTCCGGGAGTTCTGCGTTAATCCGGAGTTGGGGGATCCCTGGGCAGGGCGCAGAGATTCCCCCCCCCCAGCCCCCGCGCCCCCGGCGGGCCGGTACCTGGGTCTCGGTGAGGTTCTTGTCCGGCCCCAGCAGGTAGCGGGTGAGGAAGGGCTCCGAGGGCCGCAGGCTGGCGAAGAAGCCGTACAGGCAGAGCAGCGCGGTGGGCAGCACCCAGCAGCGGCCCCGGGGAGCCCGCCCGGAAAGAGGCGGCACCTGGAGCCCGGCCTGCGCTTCCATCCGGGGAGCGGGGCGGCTCGCGACTCAGCGCGAGGCGCCCAAAGGCCTCACGCACCGAGGAACCGCCATGCGCCCACACGCGCTGTCAAAGGCACCTCCAGCCCGGCGCCGCGGCCGCTCGAACTTACCCCACTGGCCAGCTGCGGGAAGGGGGAGCTTGCAAGCGGCCTTCCCATTGGACAGAGCGGCCCCGGGGATAAGCCAATGACAGCGGGTAGAATGTTGTGACGGTAAACGCCTTAGCGTAAGAGGATGGGCGGGGGAACAGGAGTGAAGGGAGATCGAGCGCGTGCTGGAGGTGGGGACGGGGTCATTCAGGAGTCAGGCCCTGAGAAAACTTCACAGAAAAGTCCTGTGATCGTAAACATAATAAATACTGTGTTCCTTTTTTTTTATTTGTTCTCTGGTTTGAGCCTCAAGGTCATATTTTCCAGGTTTTTTTCCTCCATGGCCACAAGTGCTAGAAACTTGCTGTTTTTAAATAGCACAGGCTGAACTTCTGACATAGTCAAATGAGAAGGCCGTCACATATTTACAATAAAATCACAAGTGTTGGCAACGTTGTCTACCCTCCATCTGACACATCACCCCATGACGTATCCCATGCACATCACCAACAGCAGCCTGTAACAACATATCCTGTATACACCAGCCTGCACTAGATCACACACCCATCAGGGTCACTGGCCTGTAACATAAGCTGCAGTACATCTTGTGCCTACTATAGAGTGGCTGGTCACATGTTCCCAGAATACCAGACATTCCAGCACTTTTGGTAACAGCATGGGCCCACCTCTGCCTGCATGATGCTCCCCTCCCCCCACCAGCATGACCTTGTAATAGTAATCCTCCAGGAATTAAAGATTAATCTTTAATTAAGGAATATGTCATGTGATGAAACCTCCAAGAAAACATCCAACCAAAATTGGCAACCTTACCTTGGATGCGTGATGCGTGCAAGGTCATGCTGCATGGGGGATGCCATTTTCAAGAGCATGCCTCCATGCCCTTCCAGCGTGACCTCATATGTACCATGAGCACAACGTCATGCCAACAGGGACAGAGCAGAGCACTATTCAAAATGGCATTCCCCATCCAGTACCAGACAAAGCCACAGCCTGTTTTATCTCAGTAGCAGACAGGGCACAAACCAGATTAAAAAAGAGGATTGTTCAGTATTATAACTACCCTGATCCTCACTAGCAGCACAATGAGCTAACAATGAGCTGTGCAATTATATGCAGTGTGCCCCATTCACTGGCAGCATACAGTATAAAGTCTTTGCACCGCCAGTACTGTGCACTGCAATATATACTTATATTTGTAAGCAGAGTCAGGATGAGCTCTACCCTGACATCTGGTGGTGAATTATGGCGAGGGTGGAAAAGAACTCCAGGGGCTGATCTTGTTTGCATAGGCACACCCACTCGCCTGGCATGAAACCACAGCAACTCAAAGTGGTTACTTTGGCTGGTGTGGGATCCCCAGTTTCTCTGTTATTGGGGCAGGAAGAATAAAGTTTTGTCACCCT